ACAACAGGCCAAGGTTACGCCTAAACAACGAGTGGTTTCTTTCGGTTTGTTGTTGTCGTGAATAGCTCAATAAATTAATCAAACTCTTGAGAAAAGGAAAATATGGCCGTATGAAACAAAACGTTCCCCATTTGTATTTCTCTCTCCAGCTCCCCTAGCTCAGTTTTTTTTTTTCGGTCGCACGTGATCGCCAATATCAATAGTTGCTGGACAAACGCCGTAAATATGCGCGTGCGCAAGACATTTTTCCACGTGTGATCAGGAGCCCATGGGCTCCTGTCTGCATATGATTGTCCACCCTAAGGAATTCAACCTCACCTGTTATTATTTGTTTTATAACGTGATTAATCAACAGTCTGCACGCGTGTCTAGTTATCTTTCTTCCTGTCACCTAATTTGGAACGCAGTGGCATAAGCGGGCATAAGCTACTGTAATAACGTATTTTCGGTGTCACCGTTGTTCGGTGGCTACTTTTTGGCACTGAGGAAATCTTTGCCTTCGTTCAAGCTCGCATCTATATCCGTTAAAAGCCAGAAACCGAGAGATAACGAAACCTAAATCGCGCTATATCCTCGCCAACCGCCGGCAAATGACGAGTTCCAAAAGTGTCTAACTTTTCTTAGAAAATTTAAAGTATTAAAGCTGCCATAATGAGATACATATAAAGCATTTCGGCTGGCATGGGACATTACGGGATCATTATTCAGCGTAGCTTTGAAACGATTCGTTATTAATTCACTCTCATGGCCTCTGTTGATTTCAAAATCAGTTTTGTTCATAAGCCCTTATGGCCAAATTCTCCCAAAGAAAATGAAAGTGTTTGGGAATGACAATGTATCAGAACCAGTGAGATGCATTAGGGAGAATAATAATGTCAGTTTTGGAACTGTTTTACTACGAGTAATGCATCTTTCTACAAAAGCTTGGCTTTAGGGCTTCTTAGAAGATTGTGCTGGAAGCAAACTTATAGGTCTATAGTTATAAGTCCCTTATAAGCGTGGGCAGCCAGGTGATTCAAGGGCCGGTTCTAACGGGCTCTCGTGATTTGTCATTACTAGTTTTCAACGAAACTGCATAAACCCTGTAAAACCTGAATTCATTTCTTTTCAAAACCTTCTGAGAAGTGATGGTTGGGGAAGGAGATCGGCATTTCAAATTACAAATTATTAAGTCAGAGCGCCCCCACTTGGCTAGGGGGCTTAAAATAGGAAAAAAAAATCACGAAATTTTAATATAATTAGGCCCGGTTCAGACGCCGTACTCCACATGCATGAGCCGAATCGAATTCAATGAATTACGATCGTGTGAAGTACGGCGTCTGAACCGGGCCTTAGGGTTGGCCAAGTCTTTAGACGAATTCTATGTTACAGTGAATAGGGGCTGAATTCATGGAAGAATAGAGGGAGACTATCAAAACAGGTGTCAAGCAATGACAATTTTTAACGAAAATAGTTATTATTTTAATTAATCTGCGCGTCTAGGAACATATGCATACATGACGTCTTTTATTGACAACCACACATTTTAGCTGAAACAGAAAAAGCTACATTTGCACAGCTTGGTAAACAAAGAAGAAATATATAACTATAAATATAATTTTTGAAAAATTCACAAACAAAAAATAAATGGCACTGGAAAGAGCGTTTATTACGTTTAAATTTTTTGCCGTAATATCGCAGATATACACAAACGTTCTAGATAAAAGAAAACTGACTGTGGAAGATACTGGCAATTCCAAATGCGAGAAGGGCTCGGAGTGCGTGAAACACCAAAACCAAGGAGGAATTTTACTGACTTCCATGAACAAAGAGTGAAAACAGGTGATGACAGAGCTCTCGTGTTGTTTAAGTCTAAAACGAAGCCTAAACCTGCCCACTCGTTTGTCACTTTTTATATATTAATGATTGCCTTGTGTTTAGACCACGTCTGGACACAATTGCTTGGTTTAACAAGGTTTTGACACGAGTCAAACCTATAAAAAAAATCCACATAATACTTCCAGCTAATTTCCTAACTGATCTATACAGTTTTTCACTTTTCTATCTTTTTCTTCACACATGAGGTCAATTTAACAGTTTAATGCTCTCTCACTCTTGTCTATTAACTTTTTTCTTTTTCATTTGATTTATTCCAAACCTTTCTAGGTTATTTGTATCTTCTGATGTGAACAAAAGAGGCGGCTTCGTTTTTGAATATATATTAAAGCTAGGAACCTGTCAATCAAACCACTGGAGTGCCAGTGTTTCCTGCCGTTACAAAATAAAGTCCTTTGATCGAAGTTGCTTCTTTTAATTTCGTAATCTAAAACAGAGTTGAAATAAAGAAATTCTGAAGTTGGATGCACGACAATGGTATGATCAAGAAAGTGTTAATAAGTTTACATCATTTATCGCGTCTAGCACCAGCTAGATCGAAGGAACTAATTACTTTGCCAGGCGAGGAAATTTTTTCTCGTATTAGACTATCGAAGGCATAGTTTGTTGGATGAAATAAACTTGTCTAGGTGCAAGCTTGACTACCATACGGTCCGTCAGCGTTGTATAGGCTACCTAATCTTCTCGATACAATTCTAGATATTAAAACTGCCGCATGCTTCAGTAAAACTCAAAAGATTAATCACAGTTTATGTTGTGACTCGAGCAATTTTTTTTTAAGGACATCGGCGCCACTTGGCGCTAATTCTCCTTTAGTGCGATAGTCAAGATGTTATTCTAAAGTGTATATAAATGGTGCTATTATATATATTAATAAAGGAACTGATTTATTCTAAGATCATATACTTACCACGACGGATCTCGTTTCTTCTGGGAGTTTTGATTCTCGAGGCACTTCCCCGGCATTTTCAGCGCAGAAACGCTCCGAAACGAAGACCCTTCTTCCAACATTGAATCTCGAATCGGCAATTTCAGCCTGGTGGAAAAAAAAATCGTGCGTCTAAATGCTCTCGTCGTTGGCGAGTAGTTAAATTTGACTGAAACGTAGGAGGACTTTAAATAGCGTGACCTTGAGTTATTCTTAGAAGCGACCACCACCCGTTTTTCTGTCAAACACGCGACCTGTTCAAGCCGGGGGGCAAAGAGATTTTTTAATGAAAGCTCAGTGGCGACCCATGCCATGTTTAAACATTTAGTTGGAGAAACCTGGCATATGGCAAAACAAAGTTTAAAAAAGGGAAAGACTCACTTTTAGTCAGCAAGAGTTTTCTATTTGTAATTTTTGTTTTGTTATAGCTTTGTCGATTACAGTGTCAGCACTCGTCACTACAAGACACATGGCACTTCAGTAATTTGAGCCATGAATTTCATTCTATGAGAAAAGAACAAACATTGGCAGACTTCGAGCAAACTGGATGGAAACCAGGGGAATGAGAAAGAATGCATCGACCAAAAATCCGTGGAAAATAGTGATAGGGAAATAATATTCGAGGTTAGCGGTAAAAGCAGTTTGAAGGGAAAAAAAAGCATATTCAGACCAACTATAAAACGAACAAAGTAGACTCTAAAAGCTAAGGAACATATAAGCATAGCATTAGCAAGCATGTAACAAGTTTCCAAGTTAAAAACAAAACAAACAAAAACATGTTTTTTCCCTTCGCAGTCAAGGCTATTTCTTCCAAAACCATCGAAAATCATCTAAAATATAACAAAAGTGTTCAATCCAACCGTCCAACACTGCAAGCGTTTCCATAAAAGGCGCTAATCTCTTGCTAATTTTCGTAAAGCGCTTTATTTTGCCGGAAGCTAACAGGAGTTGTTCGCAGCAACCGCCTCCACACAAGTTGTTAGGTACTCACGCGATCAGTTCACAACGCAGTAGGGGAGGGACAGGTGGGTATGATCCTTCCAGCGCGCGCAGTAAGCACTGAACACGAATCAGGCGCTACAACCTCGTTTCCAGGATTAGGAACCACAGCTACAAGATTGTTGAATCTTTACAATAGCCGAATAGTGACACAGATGTACATACACCGACGAAGGAAGTCTGGCTGAAACAAAACCGAAACGACTGTAAATAGATACCAGGAATATGATCAAAATTGACAACACCTGATCAAATACTGGAACGAACTTTGCACCCATGACAACAGCCAATGCAATGACGTCATGGTGAAACTAACCAAACGACAAGAAACTTATTTCATTACTTGCAAACAATTTTGGACGATTTTAATTTCGGACAAAAAAAAAAGTGTCCGAAATTTTTAAGCGTCCGAAATTTTAAGCGCCCGAAATATCTACAGTACAGTATAAAAAAAAGTTTCCTTTAGGGAGCGAACTCTAGTTGAGTCACTGCTTGAGGTACGTACTGGCTTTACAGAATATGTGTTATTTTCTCGTCGGTGTATCCGTAAAGCCTTGAGGGTGCAGTAAAACTATCTTTGTCACAGATGTTGTTTCAGTCTAATCCGTGTTTTGCTGGCGTAAATTTACTTTAGCTATGTTTAAGAAAAGTGTCCGAAATTTTTGTTCGAAATTTGTCCGAAGCGAGATAAAGGGTGCTTACCATTTGTCGGAATAAACCTGTTGGGATGACCGTTGAATAATGGAAAGGGTTTTTCCAAAATCAGGAGACCAACCGAACAAGATGGCGCTTACCATTTGCAATTTGATTTCCCGTTATTTTCTGTTGACGAGAGACTGGAAACCGGGGATTCTACCAAATGGTAAGGAAATTTCCGCCGTTCCGTTCCGAAAAGAAAAAGCGCTACCTCTGGAGGTAGTCTACAATTTCCGAACGGATTTTCCAGAAAATTGCTGTTCCATTTCACTTTCAACCGAGGTTTCCGTATTTTTTTTGCTAATGGTAAGCACCAAAAGTGTCCGAAAATTAAGCTCCCGAAATTTTTTGCAAGTGATGTATGCTCAAACTCTCACTAAAATGGTTGTTTTCTGGATTTTGCTCACCAGGACGATCAAACTAGACGAACTAAAAATCTCAACAAACACAAAATTCACATTTTATTTCATTAACGTTTCAAAGATATTTTAACAGTTGCGCCACTGGGAATCCGGGAATCTCTGTAATGAAATAGAAGCCAATAACGTTGCACGGCGAAAAGTGGAGACAGAAAAGCCGAGAGTCAATATGGCTGCTTCATTACAGAAGAGAGCCACTGGATCATATCCAAAAACACAAGGCTCACCAGACGGCTACATGATGGGGAAAAAAGTTCCACCCAAAGATTAACACCACTGTACTTTACAGCAGTAAGAATTTTTCATCATAGCAGTACGTTTATTAAAGAATTTCAAGATGTGTCCGTTTTCTCCGCACAATTACATAAACTTCCTCGTTACCAGTTAAATCTTCTTCACACGGTGGACGTGGAGGAATGGAGAGAACATTACTGATATCCGGTTCACGTGCATTGTTCAGGTTTGGTCCACCAATTAATGCACGCTTCTTATGCTTTATTTACAGTCTCAATTACCCTGGATGTTCTTCAAGATGTCATTTGTGATTCGGTGTACTTAGCTGCCCACTCTGGTGCGTGGCTGTTGATCTTTTCAATCACATTGTTGACTTGGAAACACAGGTTTTGGACTTGCCTGTCCCACGAGGGAAGCACCTCTTGAGCTAAAAGACAAAATCGAAAGTGAGCACTACTGCAAATATTACTTTTCTGTGAGCTACGTTACTTTTCACGATATAACGACAAAGGTAGGGTGACTAGTTTGTTTCTAGTACCTACAATCAGTCGTCAGTCACAAAGAGATAAGATAGTAATTTTACTATCAATGAAGAGAGAGCAGTGTTTTCCTCGAAAGATCAAAGGGAAGGTGTTTGCAAACAGCGTGCAGAGTCTTACGGTATGAAATAAAGGCATTTTCCCCCGTTCTGTTTCGCTTATTATCCAGTGACACTAGTCACAGATTATTGGCGACTACATCTCATAGTTCACTTCCCCGCTTTTTCGCATTGACATTTTTTTTTTTTTGTTATTCATTCTCCTTTTGTGATTTGACTTGAGCAACTTAGGCAACCGTTATTTTCGTAGCTTTAGTATATCATTTTACGTCATACCTTTTCTTCCGTACAAAACTGCATCTTCGTGAATCAAACTTTTGAAACCTTCGGATTTACGTCGCATGACACAGAAGCAATGACCATTTTTAGCGGATGGAGGGAGGGGGAGAAGGGGGAGTGTGACAATTACAAAATAATGGAAAAAAGCATTCTTCCACCAAAAAAAAAAATGAAAAACATAGTGCATGCCCTGACTTTGAAAAACAATTTCTTGCTTAGGGTCATTTGCTCAACTTAAGTACAGCGAAGGTGTTTTCTCTGTCTAATTAATATCACCAAATGAAATTCTTGTTGAAAACTTTTTTCTTACTTTCAAAATGTACAACTCCATCAATCTGATCTATCGAACCAGACATACGTCCCTCAGAAATCATCTGTGATGCAATCCTCTCTGCCTAAAAGAGACAACATCACATGGCATCTGTGCTTAGCAGGGCACTAATTAACAACCAAAGACTTAGTTCTCGATAATTACTGCATTGCCAGCAAAACAAGAATCTTACAGGAAAAAAAAACTCTTGAAGATTTTCCTCAAAACTGGATTCAGGAAGCCCTGCTCTACCAACAGAGCTCAGGTGGACGCATGGAAATGATGTGGACTTGTGCAGGTTCGCAAGCTGTACACTTGTATTCCATGATCATTTAATAACTTCTGACTACGGGCTAAAGTACCAAGAAAGGTCAAAGACTCTCTCTGTACCTTGTGGGGTTTTACCCCCTTAGCTGAGGTTAACACACTCAACTCCTAATTGGGTGTATTCATAGATGACTACAACATTAATCCTCCATGTTGAAGCACAAAATGACAAACAAAAAATGCCTACCTTGGGAGGTGGTATCTCTAACAAAGCTCCAAGCTCTTCAAAGGTGATGTTGTTGTAGAGCTTACTGGCAGAGAGTAAATTATGCTCAATCACTGCCCTGTCAAGGATACTGGAACCTTAAACAGAGAGAACAAATTAACATTTAGCATGCTGAAATTCAATGAGCTACTAGTGGAGCTCTATCAAAGAAGAGTATGGCTAACCATCTGCAGTAGTTGCCTTTTGATGTGGCATCAACATAGCGGCAAATTCATGAAGCTCTGGGCCACGAATTATCCTGTCCAAATACCTTGAAGAAACAAAAGGGCACATTGATCACATAAGAATATGTCATATTTTACATTCATAAGTTGTGTCAGTGCAGGATGATATTCAACTTAGCTGCAATAAGCTATGCTTACATTTTCTCTAAAATCCCATAGGCTGGCAACTGTTGACAGCGCTCATCTTTGAACAGGTTTGCGAGTATTCTTGATCTTTGCTGGCCTGAAAAATACACCTCAAAAGTTGTAAATAGCAATAACTCAGTGCCAAATTAAAAATGATGTTTATAGCAGACATTTCAAGCCGAGCCCTCCCTCAGTGCTAAGTTTAGTTTTGAAAAATACACCTGTCCACTACTAATACATGTTTACATTCTGAAAGTGATAATAGACTTTTGTCATAAGCCAACCAATCAACCAATTAACCAACAATCAAACAATAATACAGTCAAACCTCTCCTTAATGACACCTCTAAAATGTGGGCCCCTCTATTAGTTCACTTAGTCCCAGTGAAACTTGAATTCAAATGTTACACTCTTCCTCTGTAGCAAAGACACTGTCTTGTGCCTGTCCCATTGGTGTCCATATTACAATACAAATACTGTATTTATTCGATTAAGCGCCCAACCTCAAATAAGCACCCACGCTGAAGTTAGAAAAAGTTAATAAGCACCCAGCCTCAAATAAGTGCCGCCCAACCCCCACCACCCCATCCCCAAAAAGTACTTTTTAAGCACCCGACCTCGAATAAGTGCCCACCCCCCGCTCCTCCAAAAAAAA